CTGAAGTCTGAATTATAAGTGCTTTACAAAGGAAAAAAAAAAAAAGCAAAAGACCTGGATTGAAAGAACTTTGCCTGTTTTGAAACAGAAGCCCCTGCATGGACAACAGTCCTGAAATACAAAGTGAACAATATTCTCAGACCTACCAATCTTGCTTGAAAGTACCACCCAGCATCTGGTTCATCAATAGCAAAATATTTCACTTTTCCTCATTTCATGCTTATACATTCTACTTCTAAACTGAATATGAAACTCGAGGAAAATGACAGTAATATTTACAGTTCAATGTATCCTTTACTAAATGCTTTCTTTCTAGGAAGCACTGTCATTATGGCATATAGGGCCTTTTTGTTATGCATGTACAAATGCACACATGTGGAGGCCTGAGGACAATTCCATGGGTCATCCTCAGGAGTACCATACATCATCTTTAAGATACCTTTCCTCATTGACCTGAAAATTCAAGCAACCTGAAAATCAGTGACATCAGAGAATCATCCGTTATCTACCATCACAAAGCTGACCACCACCCTGAAATTTGGAAACAAGGCAAAGCCAAAGGGGAGCAGCAGAGGAGAGCTTACCAGGAGAAGTACTGTGGGAGTCAGAAAACTACTAAGGAGGTGTCTGACCAGTTGGCTTCCTTTTCATTCTTGTGGCTCTGATATGGGCTGTTCCTTAGTATGTTGCAAATATGAATTGCTTTTATTGGTTGATGAATAAAGCTGCATCAACCATTAGCCAGGCAAAATATAGGTAGGCAGGAAATCCAAAGATGCAGAGAGAAGGAAGGCAAAGTCAGGGAGATGCCATGTAGCTACCAAGGAGTAACATGCTGGAGCATCACTGGTAAGCCACAGTCTCGTGGCAATACATAGATTCATAGAAATAAGTTGAATTATTAGAGAGAGCTAGCCATCAGTATGTCATTGGCCAAACAATTGTAATTGATATTAAGCCTCAGAGTGTTATTTCATAAGGGGCTGAGGGACCCAGTGTGTGGAAGAGAAACTAGTCCAGTGGGACGGGGCAAAACAGAGAATAACTTCCAACTACAATGGCTTGGGTAATAGAAGGGTGTCCTGGCTGGTTTTATGTTAATTTGACACAAAATGAAATCATTTGGAAAGAGGGAACCTCAGTTGAGAAAATGCCTTATGTCAACTCTTTGGTTCATTTTCTTAATTAGTGACTGATGTGGGCAGGCCTGGCCCATCGTAAGTGCTGCCACCCCTGGGCAAATGGTGGTCCTGGGTGTGTAACAAAGCAAGCTCAGCATGGCCGGGGAGCAAGGCAGTAAGAAGTATTCTCCATGGCCTCTACATCAATTCCTGCCTCCAGGACCCCTGCCCTGTTTGAGTTCCAGTCCCAACTTCGGTTAGTGAGGAACTGTTTACCTGGATACATAAATAAGATGAAATAAACTCTTTCCTCCCCAAGTTGCCTTTCTTCATGGAGTTAGCAATAGAAATGCTAACTAAAGCAAAGGAGAACACTAAATCTGGAATTTATACTCAGCATCTTCTCTACAGGGGTCTACTTTCTAGTAGAAAGGAAGCTACTAAAGCCTGTCAAGATGGGAGCAGAAGAATAGCAGGTGACTTGTGTCACTTCCAATGTCCCTGTCTCAAGGGGAAGTGGGATAAAGGAAAAGACGAGGGGCCAGGTCATAGTTATAAATGCTGAGACTCAGTTGTAAGATAAAAGACCACATTCAGACATGTAATAAAAGGGTTCAGTACAGCAGCAGAATATACTAAAATATTAATATATGCAAAAGTAAAGGAGAAATAGTTATGGAGACCCAAAAGTAGTGAGACAAAGTATGAAGACAGAAATTTGACACCTCTAGGGCCTAAAACATTAAATATAATAAAACTCCAATCTCAATGAACATAAAACCCCACAGTGAACTCTCCATTTGTGCTATGAAATACATCATGTCTAGCCTGAAAAAAATAATTACAAGACATGATGAAAGAGCAAGAAAACAAAGGACCAGAATTCAGGTAGGACGCCAGGCGGTGGTGGCACATACCTTTAATCCCAGCACTCGGGAGGCAGAGGCAGGCAGATCTCTGTGAGTTCAAGACCAGCCTGGTCTACAAGAGCTAGTTCCAGGACAGCCTCCAAAGACACAGAGAAACCCTGTCTTGAAAAACAAAACAAACAAACAAAAAACCAAATAAACAAGAAAAAAAAGAATTTAGGTAGCAATCTTTTAATAGCCTAGTGGAGTGCTTCTCAATCTGTGGGGTCACATCTAAGGTATTCTACATATCAGATATTTACATTATGATTCATAACAGTAGCAATGGAATAATTTTATGGTTGTGGGTTACCACAACATAAGGATCTGTATTAAAGGGTAGAGGCATTAGGAAGTTTGAGAACCACTGCCCAGTGAAAGATGATGGTGGTTATGCCCATGGGCATGACAGTGGAGGTAGTACAACATGGTCAGGTGTTGGTTATATTATTGCAGACACAGCATGAAGAAGTTACTGGTAGAAGGAATATAGAATGATAAAAGAACAAGCAGGCATGAATAACTCTTGGGTTCAGAGCCACACTACTAGAAAAACAGAGCTGCCATCAAGTAAAATGCTGAGGGCTGCAGGTAAGGCTGGAACATAGCAGGCCAAGCCTCAATTACTTTTACTAATTCTGGTCAGTGAAGCATTCACTTAACTATTCTTGTTAAAATGCCTAAAACGTATGTCGCTCGAAAAGTGCTATGAAGAAAGTGTGGGGAAATACAAAGCACGTTGCTTACTAGATAGGTTAACTAGAGTGATGAAGAAATGGCCAAATACTTAAACTATACTGTGAAAACACTGGTTTAAAAATCATAACCATCAGGCATCACAACAGTTAATGGTGAAAATATCATTGCGGTTAAAAATGCTTCCAGTGCAGCAGAGACTGCTATTTGGACCTTTGCATCTGAATATCGCCCACCCTGTCTTTCAGAGTAATGGCATTTGGCTGGATATTTGACTTCCATAGATAATATTTCCCAGTCTTTCTCACAGAAAGATGTAGCCAACAATCTCTGGGCAAATGAAGTATATACAATTTCTTCAATATATCTTAGAGAGAATGGGTATACCCACATTCTACCCCTCCTCTCCCTCTTCCTGTCAGCTGAAGTGCTGATGTGTTAATGAGCCATCTTGGACCACATGGGCAGGGTAACCCATTGAGATGGCAGGGGAACAAAGGAGGAACAGGGATCCTGTCAAGCCATGGCGCCATCTTATCAGTTCCCAAGCTGCATGCATTGAGATTGCCACATGAAAGAATATGGCTTCTATCTTCCTGAAGCCCCTCTTATCTGAGTCCTTTGTAATACCAGCTTAGCATAAAATTCAGCCAAATTTTTTAATAAATCCTCAGGACAACATTGTGATTCAAGTAACATTCTGGGGGATTTTGTTTTAATTCCTTACATGCATCAGTTTGGAATGACAGGAAAATACAATGGCAACATAAACTTCTAAACTTGTATAGACCACCAAAGAAAAACTAGCTGAAAAACATTCTACAAAAACTGCAACTTTTTTTTTAACAAGTTTTTGGTTTGAGCACTACTTTGAAAAGCCCCTGAAGAACTGCATGGCGTGGAGTAGCTCAAGCTTACCTCTTCCTTCTATTCTCATTAGAAACCTCTGCAACCAAGGTTGGAGAGACAGCTCAATAACTAAGAGCATTTGCTGCTCCTGCAGAAGATCCGGGTTCTGCACATACAAAGACAGGTCACACCTATCTATAATTCCAGTACCAGGGAGCCAGGTGCCCATTTTTAGTTTCTGCAGTCACTAGTTATGCACAGAGTATATAAATCCATTCACACATACACATAAAATAAACAACTCTTTCCAAAACAATCTCTGTCACTTACTAGAACTAATACTCAGAAATAATTCCTTGGCTTGTGTATGAATTGTATACATACTCAACGAACTCTTGGTTTGATGTATGATAATTGGACAAGGATGTCAAAGTCGCTTCTGAGAATCTTGATTTATAGAAACAGATCCCAATTTATTAATAAGCCATTTCTTGTACAATAGGAAGCATTTTGCCCCTTTAAGATTTTTAGATCTTAATGCAGAATTGTATCAGAAAGAGAAGAAAAATCCAAGTTAAATGTTACCAATGCTCTAACTGAAAGGCTAAGTAAAAAATTACTTTGAAAAACTGAAGATTATCAGCACAACTTACTGTGATGCATTTCTGCACTACAAATTCATCTTATTTCCTTTTTTCTCTTGTTTCCACCACTGTTGAAACTATCTAAACTGTGACAACATCCTCTGGTTTACCATGTTGTGTTTTAACAAAAACTAGATTCTGCTATGCCCATCAATTTTGAGATTGAGTAAAATAATTTTTCTACAATAAAAGCAATAAAGAAATGTACAATCCATAATCTTATTCTATAGTAAAAAGATTTTGTTATTAAGAATGAACTAACTGCTAGCCAGCCAGGAGCATATTTATTTAACCTCTTCAAATCTTACAGTGACCACACCTACACCTAAGGCACAAATTAATGAGACCCAGAGGCAGCTCACCTCGAAGTCCTATGTTCTTTCCTCAGGTAATGCTTGAGAAACCAGTCCTAGACTATATTTAAATGATATAAACTTGACTTTCATTCTACAATGAAAGACAATTATTAATAATTTAAAGGGCAAATGGCAAGCGCTCTTCTAAATTCTTATGACAGTCTTTATTTCCAGTCAATACAAGTTTTAATTCTTCCGTGGAAACATAAGCATGAACACTAGAAAATAGTTTCCTATTACTAGCATGGAATGCTAAATATGTGTCCCAGTTGGTTTTACACTGTCTTTACAAAAATAAGGATGGAAGGTACAGGTTTCTCATAAGTGGATCTCATCTGTAACCCTGTGTTTTAAGGTAAGAAGCAATGCTATTAGAAGGCTCAAATTGTAAAGTGTCCAGGAAAAAACAGAAAGTGAAGCATTTACCTTTGGCTGGGTTTACTTTTATCCCTGACCTATACAGCATCTCCTCATTCTGCCAGTCTCCGTTCCTGATGGCAGTCTTGAGTCCATAGAAGACAATTAACGTTGCTGTAGCATAAAAAACCAGGCTCTTGAGAAATCTCCTTTGGACTTTGACATAAAGGGCTCGGGCACCCACTGTGATCAGAAGGCAAAAGCCCATACTGGGAATATATAATACTCGCTCTGCAATTACAAAGCCAACATAGAAAAACAGGTTCGTGGCAGGGATAAAAGGTATTATCAACAAAGATAAGGATAGAATAACAATGTTCTCAGTGGAAGGGAGCTGAGTTCTTTGTGATACATTATTTTTAATGCCATTCTCTACTTTGGATGCAAAGCTGGGCTTAATTTCTGAGTTCCGGTACTCTATGTCTGCGTGGCAGCTATGGCCATTTGCATTCTGTTTGCCATTTGTCACAGCTTTCCCATTGCACTCTCCTTCCAAGCTTGGATTCTTCAAACCACAGTAGGCAAGGAGGAGAAGTCCAGAATAAAAGGCCACAGTGTGAAGATTTCTCCAATCCCAAACCGTTTTGAGAAGAGGCACAGCATCCATGGACCAATCAAAGCTCAGGGTGTCTGGGCAGAGCAATAGCCAGAGGTTCTTGGTAGGCAAGTAGAAGAAGGTGAATGTGCGAGCCAACAGGCTGTCAGAGTCAGCTGCAGGGTTGTCCGAGTTGGAAAAACTTGGTGGTTTGTTTCCCATCCAGTATAACCGGGCACCCAAAAGGCTGGTCCCCCAGAACGTTAACAAGCTAATGCTGAGAAAGAGAGACAAGTTCTTCCTCTGAAAGCAAAAGAGAGAGACAAAATGTCAACAACGTCCTCATGACTGCAATGTGAGAACATTTCATTAACATACCAAACTGAAATATGTTTTTAGGGGCATTTAAATCACAGTGTCGAGTCTCAAATGCACAATTTCATTTGCATCTCTTTTTAAACATGCTTAGAGAAATAGTCATCTGAAAAATGGCTGGAATCCCAGTTTGTATACAGCTTTGCACAAATAGATCCCCCTCCCCTTTTTCCTTTTCTAAAATATCAATGACCAAAGCATCTAAGTTCTGACCACTGTAAAATGAACTCAGTGTATTTCCCTCAAAGTGTAAGGTCACAAGGAAAGGGCAGGGCTACAATATTGGCACTGTGTGAAATACAGCAGTCACCTGGTGACTTTCCTTTTATAATTTCGGCTTCATAGAGGAAGCAAAAAGCAGTCATATCTGCTCAGGTCTGAGGCATCTGGGCCCTTAGCCACATCCATGCCAGTTTCAACATTACTGTCTTAAATCTCCTTACATTTGTATAAATCAGATCTTCAATGGCCGACTCACACTGTCCCTAGAGGAGTATCTGCCATATCTAATTACACTCCTCACAAGAATATTTTTTCCAATGTTCACAGTCTTTAAACTAACTTTTAATAAAGGATTTCCTGATTTTAAGAGAAAGGAGATCCTGAAAATGAGAAAACATCCATGTTCTTAATTTTCTGGCTAACCCCTTTAACCAGAGTAAACAAAGCTGAGTGGTAACACACTCTGACAATGTCAGCAATGCAGAGGCTGAGGCTGGAAGGCCACAAGTTCAAGATCAGCAACAGCTACCCGGATCCTGTCAGTGATGCCTCAAAGGTAGAGATGCAGCCTAGCAGTAGTATTATTTGCTGAGCAAGTACATGGCCCCATGTTCAATCCCAGGCAAGCAACAAGACAAAGCTAAGTCCAAAGAGGCAGTAGAAGACATAGGAGGGGTAGATATCACAGCTCCATGTTCTCATACACTCATTCTAGCATAATGGTGAGGTTTGGAAAATGTGGAAATAAGTGGTACTATTAAGGGGACCCTGAATCAATAAGTTAATATTAAAATGCTTCCAATAGAAGAACTTCCAAGGCTTTGGGATTCACTACCACATTTGAGTTACTGTCTGACAACTTACATGTCTCTGAGTGCTTTCTCCATGAATGATATAAAAAGTGATAGACTGCTTCTAATAAAACCCAGTCTCTATGCTAATCTCCAGTCACTTACCTCTGAATTTTTTTTTCATTTTCTTAAGATCTTCAAAAGCTTTAATTCCTTTTTGGTTTTTTGGTTGTTTTTGTTTTTGTTTTGTTTTGTTTTTTTTGATAGAGTTTCTCCTCTTACCCCTGGCTATCCTGGAACTCACTCTGTAGGGCAGGCTGGCCTTGAACTCACAGAGATCTGCCTGCCTCTGCTTCCTGAGTGCTAGGTGTATGCCATGACTCCCTGGTGAAAGTTTTACTTTTTAATTTAACTCCTATAGTCTGATTCATGCATAAATTCAAGTAAAAGCTGCATTGAGCCAAGTATTGATATGTTTTTTTAGGGCAGTTTCTTTCATTGTTGCTCAGACTTACTTAATAACTGAAAATATGCCAGCCACAGACTTTTAATGCGAAATTTGTAGAGGGATTTTTCAGAACTACCAAGATGCAGGAAAACCATACAAAGGAAATAAGCAAGGAATATAAGGTGTATAGTTGACAATTAAAAGCTAAATTAATAAAGGAACCAAGCCATAGCTTAATAGATAAATGTGTGAGATGTATCTCAAGACATCAAAATGATCACTTCTCAACTAGAACACAAAGGGAAGGTAATAAGGAGACCTTGGCCTGGTCATTGGTGCTGGTACACTTGTGGAGCCATGTGATCCTCTCTGAGAAAAAGAAAGAAAGGAAGAAAGGAAGAAAGAAAGAAAGAAAGAAAGAAGGGAGGGAGGGAGGAAGGAAGGAAGGAGGAAGGAAGGAAGGAGGAAGGAAGGAAGGAGGAAGGAAGGAAGGAGGAAGGAAGGAAGGAGGAAGGAAGGAAGGAGGAAGGAAGGAAGGAGGAAGGAAGGAAGGAGGAAGGAAGGAAGGAAGGAAGGAAGGAAGGAGGAAGGAAGGAAAAGAATGGAACTAGCCCATCTAACACAGCTCTCTCTCTGGCTGATGGGAAATTGCTCTTGAAGAACACAGCTTTAATGCAGTCTTGTGATCTTGGGTTTTTGGAGACATAAATGAAAGTGAAAAGAAATATGTAAATCTCAATGAGACAAAAATGTAAACATTCTGCCTTGGAGTATTACACCCATCATGAGACTCATTTTTGGCAAACTAATGAGAATAAATTACTTAAGCATAAGGCTCATTTAATTCCAAATTAAGCCCTTGGTGATGATAGTGCTTCTAAGAATAAAGTAGATAAAAATCAGTTCCTGAAAGCCCTAACAGAAGAAAAGCTCTGCAGACACAACAAATCATATACCAGATATTTTGTGTCCTCCATTTATCACCGAAGTTACTACTTTCTTTTTATCTATAAAACAGACTTTCTCTTCCCTCTACTCTTGCCCCAAATAAGTCCCACTGGATCTTTACCACAAAACATGGATATAAACTCACCATGGTTTGAACATATGACAAGAAAGAATATATGGCTAAAAGTATAATCAGGAATTATCTCCTCTTATATATTTTTGGTTAATCAAAGTTTTTTCTGCAATCAAGTTGTCCATGAAGGTAATCTGTTTCGCTATAAAAGATAAATGAGGGCTGGAGAGAGATGGCTCAGCGGTTAAGAGCACTGACTGACTGTTCTTCCAGAGGTCCTGAGTTCAATTCCCAGCAACTACATGGTGGCTCACAACCACCTTGAATAAGATCTGGTGCCCTTGGCACAAGACTGTATACATAATAAATAAATGAAATCTTTTATAAAAAGGAAAAAATGAGTTTCCTTAATAAAGAGCTCCTATATTCAAGATGAAGAATATTTTTTGCCATATTTAGATAAGATAGCAGGATTTTTATGGCTGGTATTTTAAAAGATGCAAAGATAGTCAAAGAATGGTCTTAATCAGTTTTTGTGAGTTAAGAACTTGAAGGTCGGAGTGATAAAACTTTTTTGTATTAAGTTAGCATTTATTTATTCTGACTCTATAACACACAGTAATGTTTCCCACTAAATTCACCGACCAACAGACGTCATTAAAACATCTGCCAAGCATAAAACTTGGTGTAGTAAATCAACTATAGATTGAAAATTCACCTATAGGATTTATAGATTATAATTCATTAAACAGAAGGAGGCAGTGGACATAAAAATCTAAAAGGAGCATCACAGTTAAAATGTTTAAGAATTTTACTTACATTCTTATTACAATTTTTGTTTATTCACATCTGAAGTAATTGCTACCCTGTATCTGGATCCTTGCTTTTTAATTTAAAAGCAAAAAAACAAACAAACAAAGAAAAAAACTGAGCATCTTGGAAATGTGGAATGATTCTAGAGCTAGAACAGGAAATAGTCAAGAGAAGCTCAGAGCAACCCGTGCTCAGTACATACATAGGGTAACATCGATGTCAAGGGTCGGAAGGAACCCAGCTGGAGTAATCTGAACAAAGTATTATGAGTCTGTACGGTACATTTATCATGGATCTGCTTTTGTAAATGAATTCTATGTAATTTATATGCATATTATACCTATAAAGAAGGGGAGTATAATTCTCTCTCACAACCTAAATGTGACCTGTGCATAATGGCTTCCTTCCTATCCCAGTATCAAAGTAGGAGTTTGGGAAGGAAACCTCTTTACTGCTGAGAAACCTTAGAAACCAGTCTTACAGATGATCAAAGTCAACTCTAATGGTGATGTCATGCTGCAAGCATACATCCTTGATATGATGTGATGAAACAGTCATTTATGAATGTACTTTTACCTCAAAATTCAAAGCAGTCTAACTCGTTTTTTAAAGGCAAATTCAACATGAAGACAAAGCCTACAAAACAGCTAACTAGGAATCTTCAAAACTAACCTATCAAAAGCAAAGTTTCAAAAACTGTCAAGATCAAGACCATGAGACTATGACAAATATAACGTTTTCTCTTACATGGTATTGGGAAACAGTCATGGGATGTTAGGTTTAAAGGAGGTAGATAAATAAGTTATAGAGTTTTGCTACTATTTTATCTGTATCTGAATGCAAAATAGTGTTGTCAGGGAAAATAATGTATATGAGGCTCTCACTTTGCTTCTAGATTTTTATTTACTTATTTATTTATTTTTTTGGTAAACTTGTACCTACTCTTAAAATAATGTCTATTTTTTAAAAAGTTGTAAAAATCAAAGCTCCTCAAAAACAAATGAAATTATGTCAGTAGGTTTTGGTAGGTCAGCATCTAAAAGCTGCCAGCAAAATAAAACAAGTAATTTCAAATTAATGCTGCGATAATTTTTTTCTGGAATAAGTAGAATTCAGGTTCCCTGACCACAGCTGTTTACGTGTATCAAATAAGATGACAGTGATTTTTAAATCATATTTCAACTTACTCTGATACTCTATAGAATTAGCAGTGTATGATAGAACCCTAATCACAGGCAAATATCAGGGGAAATATGCTTCTAACCCTATTGCTATGGTGTTTTCGTTGGCATGGTGACCCATTCTTCCTCATTAAGCTAACGTGGGGAAATCAAGCGGTTAGCAATTTCTTGTGTACCCATGGCAAGGCCGTTCTGCAGCTAACTATTTGCAACTGAAGGACCCAAAGAGTTCAATTAGTGGAACTGCACGGGTGTGCCATAGCCCCTAACCCAATGCAAGAATAGAGGCTTGTGAATGCCAGCCTCTTGAGTAATCTTGTTTAGCTTCAAATAAGAGGTTTAGAGCTTCCCACCGGGCAGTGCGCTATGGTCAAATCAGGTTAGCTACAAAACAATCCAGCCTTTATGAAGAAAATATATGAAGAAAATACCCTCTGTCACCTAAGAAACAA